GCAGTTCTTCACATCCTGCAGCAGCCAGAACAGCGGGCTGCACATCACCAGCACAGCGCCAGTCACGGTACCCAAGGTTTGGCTGCAGGTACAGAAACCAGAAGAGAAGAAAAAGCTGCATCCGAGGAAATGGCTGTTGTGGAATAAATTACAATGCTGATAATCGCTCCTTCTCTCTTCTTTAGTTTTACACCTAGGTATGCATCCATAAATGATACAGTTTATTTTTCCCAGCTTTGAGCTGCAGAGGAATGGAATCACATTGCATTTTGCAGGGGAGGCCTATCAACATCATGTTTGTGAGGTTCATTCATGTGCTTGTGAGCTGATTATGTTCATTTCATTGCCTTATGGCTATATAATTCTGCTTGTGATATAGTCTACTTCTGACGGCCATCTGGGTTGCTTCCAGTTTGGGACAATAACAAACACTGCCCTGTGAACATCTCTGCACAGGTGTCCTAGTACACATGGGCAAGTAGATGCATCCACAACTGGACTAGATCAAGCCAAATTGTTTCCAAAGTGACTGTACCAATGTATATTCCCACCAGCAGGCTGTGAGCACTCATGTTGGTCCACAGCCTCGTCAACACCTAGTATTGTCGGCTGATAAATTTTTGCCAGTCTGGTGGATGGGAAATAGAATCCCATTGTGTGTATGTGCGTGTTTAATGCTTAAAAAAAAATAGAAAGACAAAGAAACAGGGTAAGAGAGGCCCAGTAACAGGGCAAGGAATCCCACAGCAGCAGATCAAATACTGTGCTCCTTGGTCCACTAGTAGGCACTGTGAATGTTTATCTTTTGCGGGGAGGAATCCTTTCAGCTTCCAGTCTTCCCTCTTTTGCTAATTTTACCCAATTCCTGTCTGGGAATCATGAGCTTAGGGCGGAGCTCTCTCTCAGCTCAAGGGTAGAGCAAGAGAATAATTCTTAAGGCACCCCCTGGCCACAGTGCTCGTTCAAGGGTGAGAACATGATTCAGTCACAGGGAGTCACAAGGAGACCTAGCTGAGACAAGGGCAAAAAAAAAAGATTCTTGTGGTTTCTCAAGAACTTGCAAGAAGTGAGGTCATACGGTTTGGAGTTGCCAGAGCAATTCTCCTAACCAGAGGGTTAGCCTGTTTGAGAATGAAGCCAAGCCAGAGAGGAAGTGAAAGAAATCAGGTCCTGATGGCATCTTGTGAAACCCTGTATCAAGCTGTGCCTGAAGCTAGATCTACCCTTGAACTTTTCTGTCATATCAGCCAATAAATGCCGGCTTTGCCCAGCCAGCTTGGACTTGTCTGTCATCCGCAAAAAGAAGAAGATAAAAAAAGAACCCCTGACTAATACAGCAAAGGAAATAAAAGTTACCAGGGTGAACTATACAAAGAGCTTGTGCAGAAAAATCAACCTAGTTATCTAGACAAAGGTCTTGTGACAAAGGTAGACACCAAGTGGCAGTTCTCTCTCTGGTCCCCACAGGTAGAATACAACCTGCCAGGACATGCCAGATCTCAGCCGTCACAGCCCCTTTCCACAGCTCCTAGAAACTCTGAGCGAGGAAACACAGGCAGAATCTTCCTTCACCCCAGCTCTTATTCTAACCAAAGCCCGGGTTAAGACTAAAACCTCGATTTTCATCCAGCCTCAGCTACTCTCTGTGCAGTCCAGGGCCAGATTCTTGACCTTTCTGGGTCTCAATATCACCATGAAGAAAGAGGGGTGGGGGGGAATATCTAGGCCATCCACAAGACAAACTGAAATAAAGGTTTAGCAAACACACCAGCACGTTTAATGTGCAACACAGTCATTGCTGTTATCAAGAGCAACTGCAAAACAAACAGAGCCAAAATCTTCGGGTCAGGCATCGCAGTTTTATTGTGCTGATTTTTGACAATTTGGCTCCTGGGCAGGAAAAAGCCAGTTTAGCAAATTTAGTTTTGCCAAGATCATAAGTGGAATCAGTGAACTCACCATCTATGGGTTAGTGAGATGGAGACATCTAACCATTCATTCCTGAAGGAAGGAGGGATCTAAGCCACCAGCTAGGGAGTTCCTATTTTTCATCAAATTTGAGACACTCACGTCATTGCATTTTAGCATCTCTGAAATGTGATCAACGGCATGTCAAAATTTAACTGACAAAATATTTTTTCTATGTGGAATATAAAGTAATTGATGGCATCTTAGATTTGGTAAAATGTGTAGCATACTTCCTAGAAAGTGCTGCCAGGGTCGTCTTTTTAACACACAGATCCCAACCTGTCACTCTCTGGCTTCGAAACTCCTGGGGTTAAAACCACACAGCAGGGCACACAGGCCCCCTACAATCTGGCCCCCACTTACCCATCCAGCCCCCATCCTGCCTCACCCTAATGCTGGATACACTGAAGCAGGAAGACAGCCCCTTCTTCAACGCCCCCACTCCCTACCCTTTGCCCTGGTGCACACTCCTTCCTCAGTCCCAACTCATCCTTGCAGGCTGGAGTCAGATCACTCACTCATCTCTGAGGTCCTCCCTGCATCCCTCCCACCTCCAAGCTGAATGAATCGCTCCGTCGGGTAGCACCTGCAGCACTGCATTTCTGTTATAGCTCAATCACACTGCTTCATAATTGACAATTTTACCTGTCTTTACCCCCCACCAGAGGGTGAACCCAAGGGTCATGCCTCACTGATCTTTTTATCTCCAGCATCTGGCACAAAGTAGGTGTTCTGTAAATGTCTGTGAACCTAAATGTTATCCCATGATTCCAGAGCCCCATTATCTTCTTCATTCTCCCTCTTTTCGCCATACTGCCCTTTCCACTTTAGTCTTGCCTCTGTAGAAGGTTCCAAGGGCTCCCCTCAAGATGTTCTTGACCACAAACTTTACCCAGATCTCCCCCACCTCCCTCCACACACATAGCTTTAGGGGGAAAGTCAACATTCCATTTCTACCAAGCTGGCAAGTTTTAATTCACCCTGGATGCCAGCCAAATTAAGCCTTTGTTTTCCAAATCCAATTTCTTCCCCTTCTCCATGTCTTTTCTATTCTGATCCTGGGGGGTCTAAGTCTGAAGTCACCCCAAGAAGCCTCAGTTCAGACCACGGGCTCTCTTCTGTGGCTGCTGTGTTCTGTAGGGGTCGGCCTGGTCTGAGTCCAGCCTGTCACTCCTTTTGGGAAAGTGACAAGTAAGAAGTCACCTCCTACTCCAGGACCTCAGTTTCCTGACTTCTTAACAAGGTGAGAATAACAATGTCTTGTCAAATTCACCAGGCTGTTTGAAGTTCAAGCAAGGTCACATAAGTAGAGGTGTTTTCAACAGCAAAATGCTCTATAAAAATACGTGCTAGGAAGGAGCTCAGGAGCCAACCTGAAAGAGCTCCCAACGGCTAAAGTAGCAACAACAGGAGCAACAAATTAAAGTGGTATCGGACTATAACCCAAATTATAAAGTAAATATCTGTGAGTCCATAGTGGTAAAAATAAATGATTGAATAAGGTAATAAATAAGGCAGAAGGGAGAGACAAATCTCCCACGCGGAAGAATTCCAAATAATATATGTACATACTTGCTCTTAAGGAGCGGATGGCATACTCCCCACTCCTTAAGTGCAGGCTGCACATGGTCTGACTACTGTCCAAAGAGTACAGTAAGGAAGGGGGTAAAAATAGGGGAACTTTACCGTTTCGGAGAAACCGTCAAACACTATCTCAGTCAGGTGATCAAGATCAACATCAAGTCAGAAATCACATTGCTACTATGTATCCTTGACATCATGGGATGAAAATGACAATCTACCTCTGTGGTCTTCCTCCCAAGGACCCATAAGCCCAGCCTTAGGACAAAAACAACAGATACATTCCAGCAGAGGGACATCCTCCAATATACATGACCAGTACTCATCAAAACTGTCAAGGTCATTGAAAACAACTAAAGTCTGAGAAACTGCCACAGCCAAGGGGGTCCTAGGAAGACGTGAGAACTAAATGTAATGTGGTAACCTGGATGCGATCAGGAAACAGAAAAGTACTTAGGTAAAAACTAAGGAAATCTGAATACACTATGGACTTTGGTCAATAATAATGTATCAATATTGGCTCATTAATTCTTAGCAAATGTGCCATACACTTTTAACATAAGATTTAACATAAGATGTTAATAAAAGAGGAAAAGGTTTGGGGTATATGGGAACTCTTGTTTTAGCTTCATAATTTTTCTTTACATCTAAAACTGTTCTATAAAATAAAGTCCACTAGAAAATTGCAATTTGGGAACAAAAAAAAGCCTATTTTTCAAAAAGCTGATTCTTTGAAACTTGGGGGGAAACATTCCATGCATTATGACTGACTAACAGCTAGACAGGAGACTCAGGCATGGGCCCCGACATTGATATTTGTTGTATGCATGAACGAATGTCATTCTCCCATCTTTTGAAGCACACACAAATCGTCGTGGTGTCAAAATCCGAAAGGTACTGGAAATGTGTAAGTGTTTGCCTCCCATTTGCTCCACAAAGGCAAATTTACACACTCTTTTCTAAGGCCAAACAGGGAGAACACCAGCAGGGAAAATGCTAACGTGCTAATGGACTGGAAAAGGGAGCGAATGCACAGCTCCAGGTATAAGTGGCTAAACCGGTTTATTCTGACCAAGAAAAAAAGGAAATGAAAGAAAACCTGACTTTGCCCATGGAGCCGAATTGGCCATCTACTTGGCTCCAAGCAACCAGACCGTCATCCGGGCCCCGCTTACTTCTGGCTCAGGAGACAAGAATGGATCCGTGCGCCTGAGCTGGACAGGAGAAAGCGAGGAAGACCCAGGAGGAAGAGGCGAAGGGAGGGTCAAGCAAGCAGGAGGGATTAGGCCTGGAGGGAGGGCACAGCGAACTTCACCCGCCTCCCGAGCCCGCCCGGCGGCCCGGCCCCGTTCTGCTCTCGCGGCCCGGCGGCCTCGTTTGGTCGCCCGGACCCCGGGACGCGCGTGTGACTGCTGCTTTGCTGCATTTTTCATCGAACGCCCCCTACTCACCGGTCGCGAACTCTGGACCGCGAATCCGGGGCTGGGGTCGCTTCTTTCCCGGGGCGGTCAGTTCCGGGTCGCGATCCTCCGCGAGAACCCAGCGCTACAGCGCGTCCCCGCCGGGTAATCTCCGGGCTCTTCGGAGCCCCTCAGCGAGATTTCCCCCCAACCAGCGCCCGGATTGGCCCCTGCCGAACTCCGCCCCCCAATGGGAACCTTAGCCTCCGCCACGTCACTGATCACTGGGCAAATCCCCGGGCCGCTGCGGGGGGTGGGGCAGCAGGTCAAGAACAAGAAACCGAAATCAGGCAGAGCCGAGGCTGCACCGGAGCCGCAGCCTGAGTTTGGCGCGTTGTGCGAGCTTCTGGGTTACAGGGTGGAAGGCAGCCGAGTTCTGAGACCCTATGAGACCCCTTTGTAGGACTCTGGGATGCCAGCATGCCCTCCCCTCCTCCTGATTCCCCTTTCGGGCTGGATCAGGGTCGGAGGGCGAAGCAAACGGCGCCTGCCAGCTGCTCAACAATAAATAGGGCTCCCTGCCCCCACTGTGGCCCAAATTTGCTTCCTGGACGAGGCAGGCTCTTAGCAAGCAAATGTTCTCAGGGGGTTATTTGCAAAAATTAACTACCATTTCGGAAGCACCTACGATGAGTGAGGCGCTTTACATAAAATATCCTTAAACCAGGCCCCATTCGACAGAAGGGAAAATTGAGGTTCCAAGAGCTTAAGGGCCTGGGCCCGCTCAGTGGGGTTGTTTCCCTCCTCGGCGCTGATTCAGAAACCACAGAGCCCACAAAGGGGGCCGGGACTTGGTTTCTCAGGGTCCCCGGTGGGGAGGTTTCCTAGCGGCTCTCACCCGTCCCCGCCGCCCGTGGCCCCGGAAGCTGACGAAGCGTCCCCAGCTGCCCAACCTGCGCTAGCTTCCTGCTCTGTCTGCAGCCGCTGCACGCCGTCCGGGCCATCCCGTGTGCAGTCGCTGCTGAGTCCCAGGCACCATCGCAGGAAAATTCCGCTCCCCTCCTCCCCCCGCCCGGCTCCCCGAGCCAGCGGGGCGGTCGCACGGGGCTGGGGAGGGCGTTGGAGGTTCTCCCCGTCAGCCTGTTCCCTGCCCCTAAGAGGGGACAGGAGATCGAGGTGGGGGCACAGGTCGCCAGCCTAGGCGGGGGTAAAGGCATAGGTTGCAGCTGTTGGGTGGAATTCATTGACCGGTGAGCTCAGGGTCCTAAACCCTAAAACCTGCCCAGCCTTCACTCCTCCCCCCGCAGGGACTGGAGGAACTTGAGGTGAATACTCAGGGTTTAAGGAGGTGGGGGGTGGGGTATTCAGACAAATACACGCCTATTTGACATCCCCGTCCCCTACCCCATGCCTCACCGTCTTTTCTCCCTTTGTCCAGCGGTGTAACTCTTTAAGTCTCTATCCTCTGGGCGGGACGGGTGTGGGCTTCGCCTGTTGGCCACGGCTCTGGGGGGCCTGGCTTCTGGATGTAGTCTCAGCACATCCTAGACCCTCCAGCCATGTGCTCTTTTAGTTGGTGTTGTGGAAGAAGGGATGTTTAAACGCTCCGCAGATGATTTCCTGCTGCTACTGCTCTCTCCCTGTCCCTAGGAAGTACTTGCCCCACCCACAGACCATTCTGGGCATCCTCCAGCCACAGAGGTCCCTTTCCCCTTGCTTAAAATTCTCCCCTATCTTCCCAGCCAACTTAGACTGGAAGGCCTCTGCAGGGCCTGGGGGGCTGACGTGACTGCCCTGCTTGTCTGTCTGACCTCCCTCTTGCCACTTCTCCCTCAGTCCTTGCGCTTCAGCCCCTCTGCCCTAGCCCCTTGCATGGCTGGCCGCTTCTTGTCAGTTGTGTCTGTGCTCCATGGGCCTCTCAGAAAGGCCTTCCACCACTGCCCAGCCTAAATCAGTTCCCCATAATGCAGTGTTCGTTTCACTTTCTTCATGTGTTTGTCATCATTTGAAAGCATCTTGTTCATTTCTTTGCCAATGTATTTATTTTCCACCTCCCCACCCACCCATCCCACCAATGTAAGCCCCATGAGAGTGGAGACACACGTGTCTTCCATGTACATGGCTGTCACTCAGTAAACGAATGTTGAATGAATGAGGTCTGCTTGGGCGTTTCTGGAAGCTTTCTAAAACCTTATAGCACTGCTTGTCTGCAGTATGTTGTGCATTCCTGTCTTCCATCACACTATACCTTGGTTGATGCAGCTTCTCCAGTCCAAGTAAGAGTAATGGAAATGGTGACTCCAAGGCTTGCTTTTGGGGTCAGAGCAGTTTTTTTTTTTTTTGAAGATTAGCCCTGAGCTAACATCTGCTGCCAATCCTCCTCTTTTTTTTTCTTTTTTTGCTGAGGAAGACGGGCCCTAAGCTAACATCCATGCCCATCTTCCTCTACCTTATATGTGGGACGCCTACCACAGCATGGCTTGACAAGCAGTGCGTAGGTCTGCATCCAAACCCAAAAACCCCGGGCCACCAAAACAGACCATGTGAACTTAACCGCTGTGCCACCAGACAAGCCCGATGGGGACAGAGCAGTTTTGGAGCAGCACACAGTGGTAGCTGCCTGGTACTCAGACTCACGGGCCCTCAAGATTCTGAGAGCAGAGTCAAAGTTGCTTCCTCCAACTCTCCAGCCCCGTGCTGGAGCCCAGGGGCTGGCTGGGAGTTTGGCTTTGGAGTCCTGTCTCTGCGTCTCTACACAGGCTTGAATTCTCTTCTCTGCCACTTTCTGCGTGACTTTGAGAAGTTGCTCAGCCTCTATGTGCCACAGGTTCTTTCTCTGCAAAGCGGAAATGATAATTATATCTACTTCACAGAACTGTTGTGAGGATTGACAAATTGAAATGGCAAGCAATAGGATATATTGGAGTATATGAGGAAGCCATTTGGTATAAACCTAATTCGGCCTGACTTTGTTTTTCCAAAAGGGCCTGACTGTGGCCATTGAGCATGCATTGTATACCTGCTTAGACATTTTGAGATAAAGGTGCAACTTCCCTCCCCCTCCCAACGTTGGCATCTCCTTAAAGATTAAGCATCTTTCCTTAGGTTGGGAACTGATTGCAGCGCTCATCTGTGACCACCCAGCTCAAGGCAGCGGACCTGCCAGCCGGCTGTGTTCACCAACACAGCAGACCTATCTGCCGTTTCCATCAATCGCTGTGCCGACAGAGCAATCTTGTGACTATTGTGGGAGGGACATTTCAATCATATGTGAAACATCCTCTTTGAGGATATATGACCACCCTGTATACCCCCACTTCTTTGGAGTGCTCTGTTCCTTTGTGGAAAGACTCTCCCGGGTTATAATCCTCAGATTTAAGCTCAGAATAAACTCACCCAAATTTTCATTTATAGATTGCTTATGGATTATTTTCGTCGACAGGATTAAGTGAGTTAATACATGTAAAACCTTTGAAACAGCTAATGTGTTGACTAGACCAAAGGGGAGGAGAGAATTCCTTGCATTTGAAATGAGAATCTTAAATCAAGTGAGAAGAGTTGGTAGCTATGTTCCTGGAGCAGCTCTGGTTTAACCTAAGGAAGAAGTAACACTGTCCTCAAAAACTGACTTTGCATAGCACAAATTTATTGAGTTAAAATATGGCATTCAGAAATCTCAAGGTCTTAAGAATGTTCCAGAGCTTGGAAAGAGGCCTCCAAACAAAAATACTTAAAAATATGAAGCTCCTCTTGGTAAAGAGGCAAAGAATTTGTTTGAATCTTTCCTGTGAAGGATGCCTTGGAATCAGGGTCAGAATGAAGGGCTGTCTCTAAAGGAAAAGCTAAAATTTACATGGACTAAACTGAGTGTTAAGCCTATATTTCTGCTTTCTAGCAAAGGCTTAACTAATAAAAAAATAATTGTGTGCAACTAAGAACTGACTGCTTTTGTGCTAAGACCTTGCTGCAGGCTAGAAAATAACAGGCTTAGTTGTCCCTTTTAAAAGGAAAAAAGGGCATTTTGAATGCTAACAGCATTGACTGCTGGGTTTTGAACAGAAAGAAGGCCATAGGCTGAGCCAATTTCTTATATGACTTGGGTTGTCCTTTAAAATACTTTATATTCTAAATTTAGGGACTTTTATATAAATATCTTTTAGCTCAAAAGTTAGTAAAAATATATTGTATAGTAAACAGTGAGAAATTCAATTTTTAACTTTAAAATTAAGAATTTTATGTGGTGATGGTGCAGTTACCTCAGAATGTGAAATGGAATACCGTTGTGACGTATTTTAAAAAATCATTATGAAAATTTTCAAATCCACACAAAGGTACAGAAAACATCGTGAACCACTTGGCTTCAATGATTATCAACATGTTGTTAAGGTTCATCTATTCCTTCCCTCTGCTTTTGTTTTAACTGGAGTATTTTAAAGCAAATCACAGACATATTTCACGGCACCTGTAGATACTTCCATGTGCTTTTCTAACCAACAGGGACTTTGTTTGCTTGTATGACCAAAATTCTATTATCACACCAAGCAAAATTATTCATATAATTATTCAATGTTTTCATAATATAATTTAGTACCCAGACCATATTCAAATTCTCTGATTTTCTCAGGGATGTCTTTTTTTTTTTTGAGGAAGATTAGCGCTAACTACTGCCAGTCCTCCTCCTTTTTGCTGAGGAAGCCTGGCCCTGAGCTAACATCCGTGCCCATCTTCCTCTATTTTTTTTATACGTGGGAGGCCTACCACAGCATGGTGTGCCAAGCGGTGCCATGTCTGCACTTGGGATCCAAACTGGCGAACCCCAGGCTGCCGAGAAGTGGAACGTGCACACTTAACCGCTGCGCCACCGGCCGGCCCCTCAAAGATGTCTTTTTTTTTTTTCCTTTTTCTCCCCAAAGCCCCCCGGTACATAGTTGTATATTCTTCGTTGTGGGTCCTTCTAGTTGTGGCATGTGGGATGCTGCCTCAGCGTGGCTTGATGAGCAGTGCCATGTCCGCGCCCAGGATTCGAACCAACGAAACACTGGGCCGCCTGCAGTGGAGCGCGCGAACTTAACCACTCGGCCATGGGGCCAGCCCCCTCAAAGATGTCTTTTTACAGTTGAGTTGTCTGAATCCAGATGCAAACAAGGTCCAAGGTCCAGCGTATTAAGAAAAAAAATCCAAACTTGGACATAGATAAAATGATGACTGTGTGTCCCTTCTGTGTGACACTGGAGCTTTTTCCAACAGGTCCACAAAAGAATTACCATGTTCTCTAGGTTAGCTTTGCTTTGACTTACAATTTTGCGGTATTTAGAGTACTATTTAAGGGTAGATGTTGACTTATAGAAAAGTGATATAGATGCAAATGATTCTCGGTCAATAACAATGTAAGTGAATTTTGTTCAGTAGAAATTAAAAGATGTACATCCAGTGCCCATATATATTCAGTCTTTTGCGTTTTCTTTGAACTAGTTCTTTTTTACTGGTCCCCTTGTTAACACATCTTTGATACCTGCTCACTTTGTTTTTGTACAGGACCGTGTTTTCAACTTTTTGAAAATTATCTTTTCACAATGCATTGCATTTTATTACTATGTCTCTTAATCCTTTTCTTATCTATAGCAACCCACCCTCCCTTTATTTTCATACTATTGATTTGTTGGAGAAACCAGTTCATTTATCCTGTAAAATGTTCTACATTCTGGATTTGTTTGTTTTTTTCTGTCAATATTGACTATAGTGGAGCCTTTTTTTTTTTTTTTTGAGGAAGACTGGCCCTGAGCTAACATCTGTGCCCATCTTCCTTTACTTTATATGTGGGACGTCTACCACAGCATGGCTTGCCAAGTGGTGCCATGTCCGCACCCGGGATCCAAACTGGCGAGCCCCAGGCCAGGGAAGCGGAACGTGCAAACTTAACCGCTGCACCACTGGGCTGGCCCCTGGAGCCATTTTAAAATGGAGTCAGAGCTGCCTTTCCAGAGAAACTGCTTTGCCGTCTTGAACTTTGGACTGGGCCAAAATGGCAATTGTTTTACAAGCAATTGTCTGAGAAGTCAGCAGGAGAATGGACATCCTGATCACAAGGACTGAGGATTGTGGACTTTCTGAAGATAGAATCAATAGTCAGTCAATGTTTAGCCAAGACCGATAGCTCTCTGCCTCCAACTCCAGTTAAAACTCTTTGTAAACATCCTCCCTTCTTGGGAAAAGCCCCTGACTTTTACTCCCTAGCAGGGCACTATTTGGGTTTCTACTTAAATCTGTGCTCCCCAAATTGCAATTCTTTGAGCCCAAATAAACCCTTTGCCTCTTAAACTGGCTTCCTTTTTGGTAGGTTGACAATTAACTTGTTCCTCTAGCCCCTGTATTTCTTTTAAGTGGTAGTTAATCCAGAGGCTTTGTCAGATTTGGGTTCAATTTTTTAAGGCGAGAATATTTCACAGGTGGTGCTGTGGACTTACTGCCTCACATGAAGAGGTACATGATCTCTGTCCCATTTTTAGTGCTGGTAAGTTTGTTGGAAGGGTCGGGTATTGTCAGCCTGATCCCTTCATTCCCCTTTGTGTTGGTTATGGATTTATTGCTTTTCAGCTCCCAAAATGGACTTGACCCCTTTAAATATTTCTCTTCTGCCAGCATTCACTGAGCTTTGTCAGTAGAGGGCACTAGAGAGTCATTGCAAGAAAAAATGATTTTTTGCTTCCTGGTTCTGCAGAGCTTCTTGCCAGGCTCCTGCAGGGAGCGCCTGGCTTGTACAGCACGGGCTCCTGAAGCACCGGAAACTTCCCTAGCATCCAGCTTCTGCCGTGCACGGTGGTCAGCAACAAACAGCGGCCAGCAGCTTCCTAGGCACCTCCCTCAGGAGGTTTTATATTGGAGCATCCTTGGCTGGAAAGGGCTTTCTCTTGCACCCGAGAGGGTGGATTTCTGGAAAATTCCAGAGGGCAGGTTTCCAGCAAGTTCTGTTGTGGCAGAACCACCTTGACTTCCTTCCACCTGGTGAGCCACAGTCCTGTCTTCACTTAACAAGGCGAGATCCCATCCCCTCTGTTTTCTCAAAGACTATGCACCTGTAAATATTCCATCTCATACTTCAGCATTTTTTACCTTTTCACTAACTTATTCTCATGAGCATACAAACATAATATCTCCTGTTAAAAAAAAAAAACAAAACAAAACTCCTTGATACCTAAGATTTCCAAGGACTTTTGCTCAGCCAACACGTCAGCCCGTTTCTCTGCTCCCCGTAACGTGAAACTCTTTACTTGCCATCTCCATTTCCTTTCCTCCCTCTCTCTTACAAACTGTGAAATATATGTTCAGAAGAGTATATACAATCGTGTATATGTTTTAAAATATTAGTAATGAGATGATAAAGTAGTCTTTGGCATTCATCTGGCATTCTAAGAAATCAGACATTTCCAGTCTCTCTCGCTGTGTGCCCTTAACCAATACATCACTCCTTGTCTCCTGCAGAGGTAAGCATCATTCTGCATTTTTGTGATCATCATTCTTTAGCTTTTCTTTGTATTTTTTTTTTTTTAAAGATTGGGACCTGAGCTAACATCAGTTGCCAATCTTACACTTTTTTTCCCCTTCTTCTTCTTCTTCTTCTCAAAGTCCCGAGTAAGTAGTTGTATATTCTAGTTGTAGGTTCTTCTGGTTGTGGCATGTGGGATGCTGCCTCAGCGTGGCCTGATGAGTGGTACCATGTCCATGCCCAGGATCCGAACCAGTGAAAGAAACCCTGGGCCACCAAAGCAGAGTGTGCTTCCCTATTTTCACAGCACACCATACAACTACTTTAGATGGAATCTCTTTTTAACATTTTGCAGTAAGATCATTATTCAGGATTCCTTTGACCATGTTTTATGAAAAATGGTAAATACTATTCTATGATAAATGGTAAAAGGTGGCTGGAACTGAGGGGTTTCCCAGGACGCAGGACTTCTGGTGCTAAAACCAGGAGAGTCCTGGGCAAACCCAGACAAGCTGGCCACCCTGGATATGAGGACAGAGCCTGTGGCAAACTGCCCCGTTGGGGAGGGCAGCATGGGGCAGTGCTACCGTCTGAATGTCTGTGTCCCTCCAAAATTTGTATGTTGAAAACCTTCTGCCCAGGAGGTGGTGTCCGGAGGTGGGCCTTTGGGAGGTAATTCAGTCATGAGGGCAGAGCCCTCATGAATGGGATTAGGGCTCTTATTACAGAGGCTCCAGAGAGATCCCTCCCCTCCTCTTCCACCCTGGTCATGGATTTCCAGCTTCCAGAACTGTGAGAAATAAATTTCTGTTGTTTATCAGGCACCCAGTCTGTGCTATTTTGTTCTAGCGCCTGAATTAAGGCACACAGGAAAAGGGGGTGGACAGTGAGGCTGGGTCCCTTTGTGGGAGAAGGTTCTTACGAATCATAAAAAGTGTGGTCACTCACCAAGTTCTGACCTACACCCTTTCCTTCCCAGAGAATGTCCTTCAGGTGCCCTCCCTGCTCTGGGAATCCCTCCCCATCCCCTCCATCCCCATCAGCGCGGGCAGAGCACACTGCAGCTTCCGTGCTCCTCTAGTAACAAGAACAGGCCTCTTTTAGCCGTGGATTCATTTCCTGTTGCTGCTGTAACAAATTACCACCAACTTAGCAGTTTAAACAATACAAATTTATCATCTCACAGCTCTGTAGGACCGAAGTCTGACGCAGGTCTCACTGCTAAAATCGAGGTGTCAGCAGGGCCGCGCCACTTTCTAGAGGCTCACCACTTTCTAGAGGCTCGATGGGAGAGTCCGTTTCCTGCTCATTTGGGTCGTTGGGAGAATTCAGTTCCTTGCAGCTGTAGGACTGAGATTCCCGGTTTTTTGAAGGCTGTAAACTGAGGGTCATTCCCAGCTCCTAGAGACTGCTGAATTCCTTGTCTCTTGGAATTGCAGTAAAATCATTCCTCTGTCTTCAACTACAGGTCACGCCCTTCTCAAGTCACATCTCTCTGAACCACTCTTCTCTGCCTCTTCCCTCGGCCCCTTCCACTTTTAAGGACTCACGTGATTAGATTGGACCCACCATGGCCTAATAATCTCCCTATTTTAAAGTCAGCTGATGAGCAGGCAACCATAATTCTCATGGCTCTGTAACGTATTATAGTTACAGGTTCTGGGGAGGGGCATTCTTTGGCCTGCTACAAGTTGTGTGGGATTTATTGAACTCCTACCATGTGCCAGGTGTTATCACAGGTACTGGGGATACAGTACTGAGCAAAACACAGCCCAGCCTTCATGGAGGTTGCGTCCTAGTGAAATCACATAAGCAATAACCACGAGTATGTCTCTGTATTTACTTTTAGTACCCTTTTTTACAGCTTTGCTGTATTTACAATTGATGTTGAATAAACAGCATATATTTAAAGTATACAATATGATGTGCATTGACATAGGTATACACCTGTGAAAACATCACCACAATTAAGACAGTGAATATATCCATCACCCCCAAAAGTTTCTTCCTATTCCTTGGTAATCCATCCCTCTTTCAACCCATCCTCAGACAAATACTAATCAGCTTTCCGTCATTGTAGATTGGTTTGCGTTTTCTAGAATTTTATATAATTAGACTCATAGTAGGGACTCCATATTTGTCTGGCTTCTTTCATTCAGCATAACCATTTTGTGATTCATCCATCGTTGAGCTTATCAGTAGTCCATTCCTTTTTACTGCTATAGAGTATTCTATTGTATGGATATACCATAATGTGTCTATCCATTCACATGTTAATGGAAATTTGAGTTGTTTCCAGTGTTGGCTACGCCTTGTTGGATTTAACAAGATATTGTAAGAAAGCATGAACACTGGCAAGAAGAGACCAGATTGCAAGCAGAGATTGAAGTGAATAGAATGAATCCAGATATGTGGGTCCTTATAAGGTTGGGAAATCCACCTGCTTTTGCACATCAAGTAGTAGGAGATAAGACTTTAGTTGCCTGTGGTGAGCAGAATAATGACCCCCCGCCCCAACAATGATGTCCACATTCTAATCCCCAGGACCTGTGAATGTGTTACCTTACATGGCAAAGGGGACTTGGCAGATGTGATTCAGGTTGAGGACTTGAGATGGGGAGATTATCCTGGTGGGCCCAATTTAATCACATGAATTCTTAAAGGCAGAGAATATTCCCAGCTGTGATCAGAGAGAGAGACGTGATGATGGGAGGAAGGGTCAAAGAGAAGTGATATTGCTGCCTTCAAAAATGTAGGAAAGGGCCATGAGTCAAGGGATGCAGGCAGCCTCTAGATGCTCAAAAAGGCAAGGAAATGGATTCTCCATGAAAACCTCCAGAAAGGAGCACAGCCCTGCTGACACCTGCATTGTACTTTAGTGAGACTGGTGTTGGACTCACGTACGGAACCATAATAATGACAAATTTGTGTTCTTTTAAGCCACTAAGTTTGTGATAACTTGTTAGGACAGCAATGGAGAACTCATACATTGTTCAAAGCCTTTCCCAAAGCCTTTTGTTAAGCCAAAGAAAGAGACAGGGGCCTGAGGAAAAGATTAGGTCAAGGGTGCTATCTTTCCGCCCAGGACTGCTACCATAAAGGTGAGAGAGAGGCACGGATCACTCAAGGACGTATAGAACTAGAACAGACCGAAGAACTAGACTGAGACAGGACTTTGGTTGTGGTTACTGACACATGAAGCAAATAGACAAGAAGCTCTGTGAGATTCTGAGGGGAATGTTTTGCCAAAGAAACCTTGAGCCTTATCTGAAAATGTCCGGGGCTGAGTCACAAAATAAACTGCTAGCCCCTAAACTTTAGGAACAGAAGGCAGCCTGCCAAACCTGTACAGAGCAGTCCTAAGAGATAGATACTCCTCAGTTCCTCTTATATTGGCCATGGTGGATAATGGAGAAGGAAGAACCTTCCAGAAAACAAAGTCAGGAGTCACACTGTGACAGACAAGGAATTTCTTCCCATTGGGAACACCAGGGACAGCCAGAGGGGCTAATCAAGGAACTCACTCCACTGGTAGGGTAAGGACTATTTAGGATTCCCACCCGTAAGATTTAATCATCATTATAGACCAATGACTGCTGTGTGTTTCCCTTTGCTTAATGGGGGTTTATGGCCATGACCCTGCACTTATTCCACCATTGTATATCATCTGTGTGTATCTGGAGGGGGGAGTAGATAATTTAGGCTTTATTATTTTATAGGTCACTGGTCCAAGAGGAACCATGTGTGGGTCCAATAGAGATACCTAGACGTTACTTCAAGAGCCTGGATTTTGAGCTGGAGGTCATAACTGAATGAGACTTAAATTAAATGTCCCTCTAAGGATGAGGTGAGTTTTTTTCTAAATGTGGAAAGAAGGGTATGTGTGAATGTTTGGTGACCAGAGGCAGACTGTGTAAAGGCTTCTAACTGTCTACCAGAATCCATTCTTCCTTCTTCCACATGAACAGAGCTGTAGCTGAGACATGGCTGCACACGGATCACATTTCCAGGCCCCTTAGCAGCTTGCAGCTAGATGTGACCATGTGATGAAGGTCTGGACAAAGGGATGTGAGTTGTGATAAGTGAAACATTCACCTCACAAGCTTGAGGCCTTGAACTTCAGTTCAACTTGACACCCCTCATCATTGACTGGGAGCAAACTGACCTTGGAAATGATGTGTTGTAGATGGCAGAACTTCCAGCAGCCTGGATCCCTGAGTGATCGCGTGGAGTACAACCACTTACCCTCTTGGTAAACAAATCCTGGACTGTGAAGTGAGAAGAAAATAAACTTTTTTGTTTGAGCCCTTTAATTTTGCTTACTATTTCAGTTTTGTTTTCTATCTTGATAAACTGAATAAATTATCAATAGGAAGAAATAAATGGTTTTCATATACCTTACAACATGTAGGGAAAAGATAGAATGTAAGAAAAAATACGATTTACAAAATAGCAACAAAAAGATAAAATACCCAGGAATGGATTTACTATAACATGTGTAATACTTACATGTAACAACTTTAAAATGCTTTTGAAAAACAAAAATTGTTCTTGAATAGATATACTAATCATCATAAAGTTAATCCCCCTGGCTAGTATATTAATTTAACTCAATAACAAATAAAGATATCACAGTCTTTCTTTTTCACTGGACAAACTGATTCAAAGACTCATATGCAAAATAAGCAAAGAAGAGTAGCAAGGGACCCCAAACAAGAGGAGCTTGAGGGAAGCCAGCCTCACTAGACGTGAGAACATCGTAAAGCCACAATAATGAAACAATGTGACAGAGGCGCATAAACAGACAGATGAGTGAAAAAGAAGAGAAAGTCCACAAATAAGATCAAAAACATATAGTAATTTAGTGAATGATAACAACTAGATAGTAAATCACTGAGAAAGATGGATGAGTATTCAATAAATGATTTGGGAATAACCAGATACCTATACAGAAAATAATAATGAAAGTTGGAGCCCATAGCTCCCACTGTATACCATGATAAACTCCAATTGGGTCAACGTTTTTAACGTAAAAAGAGAAGGAAATATTCTTTTATAATCTTGGAATCGGGAAGCCTTTCTATGACTCAAAATCCTGAGAAGCCATAAAGGAGAAAATTAATAATAGAACTACATAAAAACAAAAAACAGTACTGAATGGCAAGGAATGTCATAAGAAAATAAAAATACAAATGACAAACTGTAAAAATATTTTTACTATATATCACAAAGAAATGATCTCTCTAATATATAAAAAGCACGTAAAAACTGAGAAGAGACTAATAAGCCAACAGAGAAAAGGATAAAGGAGTGCTACAGACAGGTCACACAGAAAAGCAAATAAAAACAGCTTTAACTATGAAAAAATGCTCAACCTCATAATAAAGAAAGAGCAATAACCACACAGAGATTCCATCTCTCTCTCGTCAGATTGGCAAGAATCCAAAAGTTTCACATGGACTTTCTTGGTGAGGATGTGGAAAGAAAAGCACATTCGTTTATTGCTCATAGAAGTTCGACTATGACAAACCTTTTGGAGGACAATTAAGCAATGCTTGTCAAAATTGTAGGGTGTATGCCCTTAAACTCTGCAATCCCATTCTTGGAATTCTTCCTACAGATATACTCACATAGATGCAAAAAAATATTATGTTCAAGTTTATTCACTGCAATTTGTTTTAACAAAAGATTGAAAACGATACATACATCCATCAATTTTGGATTGGCTAAATTTTTACACATACACACTGGAATACTATGCATTGAAAAACTAATCGCAATGCAGGAGTTCTCTGTGTACTTTTGGTAAGATCTCTAAGGTGTATTGTAAGTGAAAAGAACAAAGTGAAGAATGTTGCTTCATAGGCTACCTCTGTGTTAGAAAAGAGGAGGGAACCAGAGTCTATCTACATTTTCATAAACTGGAAGGTACACAAGAAACTAAAGAAGGTGGTTATGTGGTTGGGGATGAGGTGTAAGCTGGATGGATGGTGGACAGGATTGGGAGCAAGACCCTTCATTGTCTCTACTGTGGCAATGAGTGTTTCTTAAAGCCAAAGGATAAACAGAGGAATGGTGTGGGCATAAAGTGAAGCTGCATTCTGTCATATACAACTGTCCCGGCACGGTAACGTTTTGTGCTGAGTAGCAGCAGCTGAATGCAAAGTACCAAACGCAATCACTCAGAGCCCGCTGGGGAAGAATGCAACGCGGAGCGCGAGGCCGTTCACCCTCCTCCTCCCTCTTCACTCCGTTTGGACATATTCTCTGTCTTGAAGTGCTTACTAAGTAATCCCCCCAATCTTCAAGCACATTTTTGAGAACAATAAATTAAGATGCTGCTGCAGTCCACTCTGCACAAGGGCCACAACAACTTGTTGCTGAGGTCCCCTCGACAGTGCAGAAGAAAGTTTCATTAGGCTGCCCCACAAGAGCTTTCTTAGGTGTCTTCTGCTGTAAGTGTCAGTGAGATGCGTTTGCAGTGACAGGAAACGATGATTTCAGTGCAGACCGCAGTTTGTGGCATAAGGTTGTGTTGGAGCTGTATAAGCTGCTTGTTAATGAAAGAAGGAAGGTAGCAAGACAGCAAAAAAACCAGAAGTCTTTTCTAAGCCAGTGCGGAAAGAAACAAGCACAAAACAACGAGCCTGAGCCGCCCATCGTTGGCATCTACGTTTAGTGCTAAACCTCGGCTGCTTGTCTTGACTTCCGATGGTGACGTCCCTCCTCCTTGTCTCCAAAAACACTTTCCTTACACTCTCAAGGTATCTTTACCTTTTTTTAAAAAAGATCCTAGTAAAGTCCCTCATTTCGTATTATAATCTTTATCGCCTAGGAGTTTAACAAGTCTTTTAAAACCTCTGCTAGTATTTTTATTTGGATTGTTATTATTTTGTTAGTGTACGGCTACAAAATGTGTAGATTCTGTGTTGTCTGCCCAGAACCTATTTTCCCCAAAAACCTTGTTACTTTTGTGGACACTTGGCAGCTTGGGAGGTTTTCTCCAGGAATGCATACATAGTATTAGGGTGGAAATATCTGGTACTTTTTAATACTGTTTGATTATAGAATGATGTGAATATCTTGCTATTCAAAACATTTTAAACAAAGAAAATTAGTAAGCCATAGCAAGATTAAAAAATAAGGTAAAAAAGTTACCTATACTCCCGCCACAGCAGGCCTCATAGCAGGACAGGAGCGCCTGGTTGGAGAGTGACAAGCTTCCCTCTGGTGAGAGGATCAGTCTTCCCTCCGGCACAGGAGGAGGCCGGTAGCTGCTGAGGCTGTCCTGCTCGATGGACAGGAAGGCGTTGAGTTCAAAAGCCCAGGGGCTGGCGGATGCTGGAAGAATCTCGTTGCCAGATACTTTAGTGGGGTTGGTCACAGCCACCCATAGCTCTGTGAGGCCTGAAGGAGGAGGGAGCCCAAATGTAAAAATTGCTTTACAGCTGATTGGATGCTTCCAGGGCTTCTTGTAACCAGGTCCCCGGTCCTGTCAAGTTTTGTTGCTTGTCGGGGAATTTCATACAAAGTCATGGGATGTGCTGCCTCCAAGGGCCAAAGAAATTAATCAGATATTGGCAAGAGGGTGGGGGCACTTTCTCTTGGAGGCTGTAAGGCTAACGGTTTGTCCTCACTAGGTTGTGGAATGTCTCTTTGGGCTCTGCTGGGTGGCTCCCAAGAAAGATATAGAGCCCTGGATTCAATCCTCACTCAAGGCACACCCAGCCTTAATGAGGTTGGCAACATGATCTGAACAGTTTCTTCACTGGGGGCTACTATCAGTATAATGCCAGTAGCTTACATTGTGCCAAGGTCTATTCAATCCGTTGATGCATATTGCAGAATACTTTAAACACTCCTGCAGAAGTATAGCAAAAATATATTGCATGACTTGCTAAATAAAGAAAAATGTTCCTGTTTGGAGGACTACAGAACGGAAGGTGTTAGCAACGTCCAAGGCTGCCTCCCAAGGCCAGTGGTGGCAGCAGTTTGTCCACCCACAGTAACGATACCAGGGTCTGCAGGAATAGTGGTAAACTGCCTCCGTAGTCCACAGTGAGATGCCAGGCACCAGCGACCTTTTCATTGGCTGGATGGGGTGGGGGCTGGGATGTGTAGCATCTCACCTGCTTTAATTACTGAATGAAAAGGATAATTTCCTTTTCACCTTCGGGATCACAAGTCTGTTTCAGTTGCACTACCTCCACCCGCCTTGGAAGCACAGACAGGCTCTCACAGCCAACAGGTATCTGAGGCTGTTGAGAGTACAGGCCGTGAACCTGGCCAACATCATCTGAAGCCACCAGCAGGGGTCACAATGACCTTGTCCAACCAGCAGGTAGGTATACATTTCAGGACTTATGTACCTCCAAATAATAATTATACAAGCTGATAAGGGGACAATCACCACAGTCCAAACAAAGGGGTCAAATGCCCTACAGTGTTGTGACTCTCTCTTGGCTCTCGCTAACACATGTACCAACTCTGAGGGGGCGATTCTTTTATGAAGGCCCTTCTCTGATCCTGGGACAGCAGATCATTGAGCTCCTGGGTCCAGCAATCACAGGAATGTTTTGAGACCTCACCCTTTTCCGACATATAAAGTGTAGTGTATGTGGACAATCTCCTGGAGGTGGTGGGGCACCAGGCCCAGCCTTAGTCCTTTTGTTTGAAAGAATTCTAATTAGGATGTAGGGAAACTTGAATTTTCAGAGGCAGGGCTGCAATTATTTCCCCATAAATCCCATTTCACTACAGTTGGAGTTATAGTCCCTCAGCATTGTCCCCTAAGAGCTGCGCTGGGGATTCTGGGGGCTGTGGGACCTCAGAGGCTGGGCCTTGGGACACAGACCTAACAATCCCAGTCTCTGAGAAGGACCCCACCCCAGGGACTTCCTCAGTCCATTTTTCTAACTTTTCCTTCTAATAATTCCTCAAGCTCACAGAGCACTCTCTTTTCGAGCCCTCACATGTCCTTTCCCCATGGCTTCTGCAGGGCCTGTTCACTTTCACACAGGCCCGCCAGCCTCCTTCTATCTCCTCTGTAATTTCCATCTTGTCCATCTGTTCAGGACCCATTGCCACGTTTCCCTCTGTGAAGGGGCCTCTTCAGGGAATCCAGCCATTGGTCCTCCCCTTCATGTTCGCCCTTTCCTTATCTCCCAGAAAGGAACCTGTGTCACATTATGGGGCCTTTTATTGCACTCCTTCTCCTGAGTCGGGCATGATGATTCTGTTTCTGACAGGGCTTTCTCCTACCTGTCAGAGGAATAAAGTCAAAGCCCGGGACCTCTGGGGGACGACTGTTATTAAATCACCCAACATTCTAAGTCGAAGGCTCACATCGTCAGGGAGTCTCCTCAACAGCTTCTCATAATAAACAGTTGTTTCAGGGGCTGGCCTGGTGGCACAGTGGTTAAGTTCATGTACTCCACTTGGGCAGCCCGGGGTTCATTGGCCTTGATCCCGGCATGCACCTATGCACTGCTTATCAAGCCATGCTGTGGCAGGCGTCCCACATATAAAGTAGAGGAAAATGGGCACAGATGTTAGCTCAGGGCCAGGCTTCCTTGAAAAAACAAAAAAACAAAACCCAGTTGTTTCAGAGAGGCTGCGGCTCTGTGCGTGTATCTCAGGGAAATCTTCCCAGTGGGAGTAGGTATGCCCAATTCCCCCAAGTGCCCACTTTAGGAATGGGAACAGGATGCCTGACCCAGCGTTTTTACCAAGCTCACTTTTGATAAGGGTCATGAGTTCCCCCTATAACCCTCCATTCAGCTTCATTCAACAGCACCCATGTTGCTCCATCATGCAAAGGAATAATCCACGCTCTCCAGAAGCCGACAGGAGCAATTCCAGCTCCAGAGGGAACCTCGTTCTTATTCTGTGCACTGCTGTGTCTGCTCTTGCTGATGCCACCCTCAGCCCTTGTAGAGTGTACTGCACAAGAACTGGCTTTAGAACTAGAGATGATTGCCTCCACCTGTTGAAACAGAGGCTCAGAGGAGGCCTATCCCACTTTCCTCCCGGAGCAGCTAGCGTTACTCCTCCTCATTTTCCTTTCTTCTTCTTCTCCTTCTTGGAAGAAGACTTCCACCTAGAAAAAGGAGTCAGGGAATTGACTTCGGGCCCCTCGTCTGCCTCAGTTGCCCTTTCCCGGAGAAGCCACCTCACTAGTGCTTTCGTGGTCTTTAGACTCATTCCCACAACCACCAGTCACTGACCATCCAACAAGGCCAAACAAACATCCACTGCCTTCAGGGAGATGTCTTCCACTCTAAGGGGGGCCTGGTCAACCTTTTTCCCCACTTACAGAACGCCATGACACCCAATCTGGATGGCAACCATGGTGTGAGGTGTGGTGACTCACACTCCTGGTGACATACAATGTTACTTATATTAAGATTCACTGGTTGACAGTTACTTATAAGAGTAGGAGGCACAAAATGTAAAGGATGCACTAAGCCCCTTAGTTATTCCATAGAGACTAGGGTCAACGCCAGTAGGGCTGGAAATGCCATGAAGAGTCTTCCAGTAAAGGGAAAGTGCCCCGCAACAACTTCACATATTTACAAGCTGGCCCAAGGGAGGATTGGGAATAGTTAGTCATCTGTGTAGCAAAGAATGTAAGAAGAAACTTCCAGGCCAGGAAACAACATTTAGGGCCTCCCAGAGCCCTAAGGAGTTTACAAATCAAGGTAGTTGACACCAGCCAGAGGCCCTGCTCTCCTGCCATGAACCAGTTGAATATAGTTCAGTGTCAGACCATAAGGAAGGCCAAGGAGAGGAAGCCCTCATGACCATCCATCCAAGACCAATGGTTTATCTCTCCATACTTTCAGATCACTTAATTCTGGGTTCAAGAAGGGCAAGATGGCAGCTTAGTCCTAAATCTCCCCACTTACATTAGTCAAGATAGGCTAGCTATGGTAACAAGCATTGCAAACTTTCTGTGGTGTAATACTATAAAGATTAATTTCTCACTGAGCTCACAGGTCGATGCAGATCGGGTGGCTCTGGTTCATGCTAAAGGACACAGGCCCCTTGAATGCGTGGCTCTGCCCATACCTCAGGGCTGCAGAGTCCTCCACTGGCTCCTCTGCTTCTGTCCAGCTGATGACTGAAGGCAGAGGGCATGGAGAAGGCACACGCGCTCTTGATCACCTCCACTCAAGCTGACACACATCAGTTACACCTTGGGTAGATCTTGACTGAATGGCTTCACCTAACTGAAGGATAGGCTCAGAAATGTAGTCCTCACGAGTACCAAAAAGAAGAAACAGATTTGCTGAATAGAACCATCTCTGTCCAACCACCTCCCCCTCAGAAACCCTGTGGAGCTGTGCTGTTCAATAAGTAGCTACTAGCCACATGTGGCTATTTAATTTAAGTAAAGTTTAAAAATTCAGTTCCTCAGTTGCACTGTCCATATTTCAAGTGCTTAATTGCCACTTCTGGCCAGTAGCTACTATATTGGACAGTGTGGATAGAAGTTTCTATCATCACAGCAAAGATCTATTAGATTGCACTGATACAGAGTGTATCAGATAGAATCTCAGAAAGGAACAGATGAAATATTCAAATAGAATAATCTTAGAAGAGTTCAATAAAAGGGAAATTTACTTAGATATGGGCAGCCTTTAGGATAATTTTAAGAGATAGTGCAGTACCTTGGGACTAGTTAGGCAATGGTTACTGTCCCTAGGCTTGAAGCAGTGATGCGAGGGAGCAGTTACTGGAACCTGGAGTAGAGGCTGTGTGGAGGGGGCCATCTGAAGGAGCTATCACCTTTGGTTGAAGTGTCAGTCAACATGTGGCCACCCTGCAAGCAGGGAGCTAAGAGAATAAATATCCTGATCTCACTCTCCTCCCTCCATCTGATGTCCTTCTGGAATGTCCCACTGGCTGGACACAACCAGACCCCAGTGGGCAAGGGAGTTCATTGAGTTAGTACTTACAGGTCAGTAGTTCAGGACACTGAGCAGGGCAGAGAAGGGTAGATAGTGGGTCTGGAGGGACAAATGGGAAAATTTCAGCAAAGTCCACCCTTTTTGTCCCTTAAAGGGTTGGGGTTGAGGGGAAGGTGTTGCTGTGGAAGAGGGGAAGCCCCATAATCACCTCCCCTCTGCTCTTCTTTTCCCTTTCTTCTGTGTTTGAGTTATACCACACCTGTAAGTATGGAAAAATGCCTAAACCTAAGCATAGCTACTGACCAATTACGGTGCTGACACCTGTGTAATTAACATCCAGGTGAAAATAGAGACCTCACTGCCCCAGCCAGGAGTCCCTGTGCCTCTGCACACACAGAACCCATCCCTCCCTGCACAGTGTCCACTAGGCTGACTGCTTCCTCTGCCCCTTTCCTTCCTGGTTCCTCCCCTTCCACTCCTCTTGGCCTCATCCCCCTAAGGTCACTGTTTCCTCTCTCTCCTCACTTCTTCAGGAGCTTCCCCATCTTCCTAGGCCATTACCGTGGGGATCTCTTCCTCTTAGTCCCCCTCTTTCACCACATCCTAGGGATGGAGAACCCAGAATTGATTCCCTGGAGGAGGAGAGTTCACCCTGGAAGCGGCAGCAGGAACAAGTGACCTGATCTCCAGGATTCAAGGTCTCATCCAGGAGACTGAGGGCACCCAGTATGTTTGTGGGGTCCACCCCAACCTGGAACTAGCCGGTACAGCCTGGAGATCTTGCTGCTACCTGAGGACAAAGTCCACGGTCATTCAGTGGGGAGGGAAACGTCTGTGTCAGCATGTATTTTGGGAAACAATTCAGACTGTGAACCTGACACTGGATGGGGGCGCCCCCTCGTGTGCACAGCCCTGTCCTGCTGCTGGGAGCCCAGGGAGACCCTCAGGAGGTCCTGGGGAAGAAGCCAAAGGGGAGCTCTGGTTTTCTGTCCTCAGCCCTGTGGCCTCACGGGGGCACCACCACTCTGCTCTCTCCTATTCCCACAGTCAGGACAGAGGATGGGCTGTGGTCTGAGTCAGGCAGAGGTGGCTGATCTGGAGGCTGGACATCACTGGGGGATGAAGATGCCTTCTGAGCAGCCCTGGGCTCAGGCTCGGGAGTGGGGCAGGGATTGGAGGAGAGGGGATCTCTGGAGCCCTGCCCTGCGTCTGAGGTTTCCATGTGTTCTCCCCACAACCACTCTCTCCAGCCCCTGGATGACAACACTCTGGAAAACTGAAAAGTAGATCATGTTTTTCTTCTACTCCCTATTCATTTTCCAAGGGCTACTTTAAAAAATAATCTCTTTTATTTTAGAATACGTAGTTTGAGATTTACAGAAAAGTCACAAAGTTAGTACAGAGTTCCTGTGTATCCCACACTCAGTTCCCCTGATATTAACATGTATATCACTATCATATATTTATCACAGCTAATGAAGCAAGAGTGATATTAAACTCCACACTTTATTTGGATCTCATTAGTTTTTCTTTTTTCTGTTCCAGGATCCCATCCATGATGCCACACTAAGTCCCAATCACGTCTCCTTCAGGCTCCTCTGGCTGTGACAGTTTCTCAGACTTTACTTGTTTGTGATGACCTTGACATTTTTGAGGAGTACCGCTCAGCTATACTGTAGACTGTCTCTCAATTTGTGTTTGGTTGACCGGGGCTCTGGGGTTTTTGGGAAGAAGCCCACAGAGGTGAAGTGCCATTCTCAACACAGCATATCAAGGGTATGTAATACCCACTCGATTGATCACTGATGACGTTAACCTTCACCACCTGGCTGAGGTCATGTTTCTCCCTGTGAAGTTTTTTTTCCCTCCCTTTCTATACAGTAGTCTTTAGAAGGAAGTCAGTCACTATATGTTGCCCACACTTAAGGGGTGTTCTGCTATAAACATTTGCATGCAGATTTTTGTGCAAATGTAGGTTTTGAAAGGAGTAGGTGAATACCCAGGAGAGTGATCAGGCTGCATGGTAAGTCGATGTTTCGCTCTATAAGAAACTGCTGAATACCTTTCATGGCGGCTGTGCTGCTTTGTGTCCCACCCACAGCAAATGAGGGCTCCTTCTGCTCCACATCCCGGTCAGCACTTGGTCACCAGTTTTTGGATTCAGGATGTTCTAATAGGTGTGTAATGGTTATCACTGTTGTTTTTATTTGCATTTCCCTAAGGACATATGATATTGAGCATCTTTTAATATGCTTGTTAGCCATTCATAGATCTTCTTTGGGAAGGTGTCTGTTCAGACTTTTGCTCATATTTAATTATTTGTTTTCTTATTGTTGAGTTCTAAGGGTTCTATATATATTTACAACAAGTCCCTTATCAGATATGTGATTTGCAAATATTTCCTCCCAGTCTGTCACCTGAGCCCTTTTACTGACATAACAGTATACATTAATGCATACATACATTTTTCTGGGCATAGAAATGAGAAATTGCTAACTGTGATGGTTTCTGGGTAGAAGACTTGGGTGAATAG